ATTTTTTTTCTCCTTAACTTTAGTAGATTAGTCCCAGATATTTACTATTTGGTGATTTAGGTTTTTTTTTTCTGGATTAACCCTCTTAATCAGATGCATTTCTATCCATAGTATTATCTAGCACTGTATGACTTAGCCTTAAAGAACAGACCCAGTAAAGTACGGTCCTCAGCTAACTAATTTGTGCTTGTACCTTGCCACTTTTGTACAGTAGTTCATACTTGCTGATCTTCCTTTCTTCCATTTCTTTTTTCTCTCTTTCAATTAAGGGCAAATCCAGATTATTTGCATCAATATTGGTATCTTGAGAGCCCACTGAAAAATAATCCTCCAGTTTATAACTTCCTTTGCAGGTACTGTTAATCGTTCGTTTTCTTCAGCATGAGCATCATCTTGGTCGGCCCATTAACCAAGTAAGTTGCAAATCATGAATAGAGAAGAAGGGTTTTTTATATGCTCTATTTCATTACTAGTTCTTGTATCTTTTTCCTATTAGACGTTTGCTTCTGTATCATCCGGTTGTTATTTTGGTAATCAGCCTTCATGTAACTTGTAACAACAGGCAAAGTCATTTTTTCAATCTCTCTTAGTTAAATTCAGTTTTCTTATTTCCTTCTAAGTTAATTTCATATCTGTTCCTTCATGTTTGACAGAATCTGGGCAGCCTTTTGATGGATTTCCTATACTTTTTTGGGTAAGAAAAATACATCTGGACACTTTATCCTTTAATACATAAGGGAGGACACAAACTTCAAAGACTATAGGGCTCATATGCGATTTATCCTGTGCAAATTGCAATCGTTTTGGAGTAGTAATATAATTATCATCTAAGATGGAATTTAATTAGTGAGTAATCTGGATATCAGGAATGTATTTGATCCGCGCCATATGCGTATCTCTATCCAAGGAAGTGGCATTTATTTGAACCGAGAAAGAGGTCACAGGTGATAAAATTAAATATCAATGTATCAGTTTATCTGTTTCTGTCAACTATTGCCTTCTGTAATTTTTCCATATGCTTGATTTGCAGCATTGATCCAATACACATTGATGATCCTCTTTGCCCTGCCAATAATGTGGGCAGGAACTGTTTCCGCATTCACCAATGTATCAAGGTTACTTATAATTCTCCCTTTGCTGGTTGATTGGACCTTTCTTCTGCAGTATGTGTTTTTTAAGTTGTTTGTATCTTTATTTTCTCACCTTCTGGAATTTTGTTCTTACTATTTTCTGGGTTATCATACTGTGTATGGTAAACTTCAGAATTTCTAAAGCAATATTTTAGTCTTCATACTGTATTAGGACTAACTTTGTTTGGCCTTCAAGCATCAATTGTTGGTAACAAATTGCGCATATTTACTAACTCTACTGTTTGATCATTTGTATGGCAGGCTTTTGCTGATGCTTTTACTGTTCTAGAAAATGAGCTGCTGCAGTTCAGTGCAGAATGTTACACACCTGTGTCATCATTCAACCTACTGAAGAAAATAATGCCAAGTATTGATTTCGATGAGCTATAGAGATGAGAAGAGCCTAGGGATTCCACACAGTACAAGCGATGTTGGGCTGGAATGTCCTGTACTGCGTCCTGGACACTCAGAATGGTTATGTCAATTATTAAAAAAGGTAACTATTAACACCACATGTCAATCTGGGTTTCACTCTACATTTGCTAGGTTACACCCTAATATTAGTCCTATGAGTTGCAACATAAGTAATGTAAGATAGATATACAAAGTTGCAAACTGCCCATATTCAAGTGCGTTATTTGGTGAAGTTGTGTTCCAAAGTATTGTAACTTCTATCCTGCTCTAACTTGGCAGCTGGGGGAGCCTTGAAATGGCTAATTCAGGAACAAGAAGGTGCTGCACGCAGAATGCACATATATTCAGGGATAGTTGTTCCTGCTCCCCATGTGACAGTGGGTTTCACCACGTGGTACGTATATTAAACTATCAAATCCATATTGATATCATGATTAACGGATCCTTAACCTTTCCCCCAACATTACAGTTTCCAACTTCCGGATGCAGAAATGAACTCATTCCTGCTGTTCACCTGTAAGGTTATGGAAAGAGCAGAGATCAGTATATCTGTTCGAAGCTACAAATCCTGAGCAGCATGGTGGGATAGGCTGCTCAACCGCAGCAACAGGTTGAAGTGGTTGGACGATGACCGTCATGAAATACCAATAACAACAAATGGAAGGACGTTTATATCGTGAGACACTCTGGCAGTTAGGCTATATAAACTCGTGGAAGACGAAAAGCATGTTACTACCTTCATCTCAAAATATAAGGGATTTCGGCAATGCAAAAATCCCTTATATTTTCAGGAAGGAGGTAATACCTACGAAGAAATCTGCTCCAACGTGTAGCATCAGTTGAACTGTGGAAGTGTCACTGGCAGTTTGTCGCCAGGCATAACATTGGAAGCACGAGTGCACGACTGGTGTGCGGAAGCAATTGTACAAAATTACGTCAACTAAGAGACATGGAACACAACTGATTCCCTGGAGCAGTCAAAAGGGTACCCTGAGCAGAACAACTGATTTTCGGCAGAGAACTTCCCAAGTTATAGGAAGTATCTGTTCCATGAACTGTAGTACTAATTTAGAATTTAAGTTAATTCACCCTTAAGTTATTATACTTTTCATGGATTTCGGATTGTTGCAGTCTGAACTATGGAATTCAAGTTATACAAACTTGTAAGAACGGCACCGTAGTGTATAGTACATCTGGATGAAATGTTGAATGGCATATGAGGCCAAGGCGTTTGGTGGCAGATTTGGCATTTGGATGAAATTTACGTACTGCATACAGTATGCACCAAGTAGAGTCTGCACATTGCAGACACATTTTTTCTGCCCGTCTGCAGGACTGCCGGATTGCCGGTGACATCAATTTTCATTCTCCTCCCAACAGTCACAGCCTCACAGGTCATCATGACTGCATGTAGTATTATGCATGTAGTATTAGGGCACCCACAATGGTTATCTATAGGCTCTCTATAAGAGATCCATGTCAGCATATTTTCCTACTTGGAAGAGATTAAATGAAGAGAGAGAGCAAAGCTATCTACTAACCTGGAGATAGTCTATAGAGAAAAACGAGGCAATGTATTAGAGAGCTATAGATACCCATGTAGACATACTATTGAGATGGTTTACTATTAATCTAGTCTATTGCTGAGATGTACATGTTTTATAGATAGCACCTTACTTTACTATTGCGGGTGCTCTTAGAGCAAGGTTAATGGTATAGCCAACTACTGGCTCTAATTTATCTATAGCCAATTTAATAGCTAATTTATACAATAGTTGTTTATTATACTATTAGTATATGGTCTCACTGTCATACACACACTGCGTCTTGGAGTTCGTGTTGCAGCTGGCTACAGATCTGTAGCCCACTGCTCTTCTCTCTCATCTTTTATCTCATTAAAATATGTTTATAGCTGGCTAATAGTCTGCTATTGTACCTGCTCTTAGGCGTGTGTTAATCCCTTGGAAAGAACCCGTCGGTGAGAATAACGAAACGCCTAGCTCGAGAGTGACCAAACGATTCGCGTTCTACATTCAACCCGGGCGTCGCATGCGCTCCTCTCGTTCCGATATTAATCCAGTCTCCACTTGCCTCTACAAATCTACATATAGGGTACTCGTAGAAGGAGTTGCTTGAGCCTTGCCATCTCACGCTCGCAGTAGCCGTAGTGCGAACCCACCACAAACAAGGCAATCGATCGGCAGCAATGTCATTTTCATCGTGGAACCTCACCGAGGCCACATCGGCTATTCACGACATCACGGTGAACGGCTACTCTGCCACCAAGTCCGGCGGTGAAAACGACTTCCCGTCCAGGCGACTCACCGTGGGTGGTTACGAGTGGGAGATCCGCTACTACCCAAAGGTGTTCATCACACATGGCGATTACCGTATTGCGTTCAGGCTCGTCTTCCTTGGACCTGCAGGGGCGAGAGGCGTGAATGCGTCGTTCAGCTGCCGCCTGATGGATCACCGCTCCACTTGGACGGAGGCACGTTGGCGTGATGCAAGCGGGAACCAGCACGACTGCAGGGCTGAAACTGTGTCACGCAAATTTCACCTCGCCAGGGAGAGCTCTGACTGGGTTAAGCTCATTAAACAGGACGATCTGGAGAGGAGCCCGGCTATTTTAGCTTGTGATTCTGAATGAGGTGCGTCATCACGGTGCTCAAAGATCCTCAGTAGTACGTAGGCACTAGGCAGCATACCCATGGTTTGATGCCGTTTGTCCGTATGGATTGGATCCAGAGTGCCGTCACCTCCATCCTAGCAGCTGGTGGGTTTCTGGTTTGCCAAGAGAAGCTTTACTTTAACTTATACATGCATTTCGATATCTACTTAATTATGTTGTGGTTAATTAGCCCCGAAATGGTCGTATGATTATAAGATTATATTTAATTGATGCCTGATGCTATTAGTATGTTCTCTTTTCTCATGGCGTTTGCAACGTTGTCATGATTTTTTTTTTTTTTGGAAACGTCGGAATGTAGCATCGGATCAAAGAAGCAGAAGGGGTTGGCCCATTGTTCACCCAGAGCAAGTTTTTAGGCTCTCTTCAACCCTCGGCTCTGCTACCTGTATATTCGGTCCACCAAACGGTGTTTACCTAATACCTACTGCCTCCGTTCCATATTACTTGTCTTTTTAAGTTTTTGTTTGTCAATGTTTGATCATTCGTCTTATTCAAAAAATTTTGGAATTATTATTTATTTTGTTTATCATTTGCTTTATTATCAAAAGTACTTTACATATGACTTATCTTTTTTTATATTTGCACTAATTTTTTAAATAAAACGAATTGTCAAACGTTATAAATAAAAAATCGAAAACGTCACCTACTATGAGATGGAGGGAGTACTCGGCTACTCGTTTCCTCTGAAAACGTTGATGATAGGATCAATTCCCAATTCTTCTGTCAAATGCTTCACCCAAGGTCAGCACGACTGCACAGGTCCTTGTGCCCGCTAATGCTTCGAAAAAGAAACATCTCTTAAAAGGAAAAAGTACAGCGAAGGTCCCTAAACTTGTCGTCAAGTTACAAAATCATCCATCAACCGCAAAATCAGATATCGACCGTCCCTTAACTAATCAAAACTGGTCATAATAGCTCCTTCGATAGTGTTGACCCCGGTTTTATCCTACGTAGCGGCTGAGTCAACGTAGGACCCATGTGGACCCCACATGTCAGGATGCCACGCCATCTCTTTCCCTTCCTCCTCATACTCTCTCTCTTCTCTTCTTCTTTCTCCTCTTCTCTGGGCAAACTGTTCGGCGGCTGGGGAGGAGGCCGCCGGGGCGACGCGGCAAAGGAGGAGAGCGGCGCTGCGACGGCTGCCGGCGGCGGCCGCAGTGGGGAGGCGGCCGTTCCATGGAGGCCACATCCCGCGCCAGCAACACCAACAACCACCCGGCAGCGACGGCGAATGAGGGGATGCTCTCCTCCTCATCGGCGTCGACGACGCGGCTGTCCACGGGGAGACAGCCGTTGCTCGCCCCCGGCCGCCGCCAGCTTCTCCTCCGCCTCCCGCGCCGAGACGGCGACAGCCGCAGCGCACGCATCAGGCGGTCGCGGCCATCACCATCCCGAGGTTAGTACTGGTTTCCTTTTAGGCGAATGGCTGCTGCGCCTCGAGGAGAGCGGGGTGGTTGGGGTACAGGCAGAAAGGAAGGAACACCAGCAATAAAATCAAAGCCAGCACCTCATCTTCTTGTTGAACTTTTCAGACGAGTATGCAGCAACAAACCAGCCGTCCAGATCAACCCCAACTCAACCTGGCGAGCAGAACACGATCGAGAGAAAAGGACAAACTTGTGTGCATATGTACTATGTTTACCATGTCAACATTCACAGATAATTCCATGAAGCAATTCTATATAAATCCTGCCATTTTGAGCAAAATGCTCAAGTGTATCGTCTCTGCTCTGAGTTCTGAACTTTGAACATGCAATCGAAAGCAGAACAAGATGGAGCGCTCTTCTTCCAAGCCGGTCATTGCGCTCGTGCTGCTCGTCGTATGCATCGTCAGCTGTTTCGAGGTTGTCACTGCCTAGTACGACGGTTCTTCCAGCAACGGCGCAGCGGTGACGGGCCCCATGGCCGCCGGTGGGAACTGCTCACTTGTTGTTGCTGCCGTTGTGCTCGCCATTGCAACGTTTGTCTGGAACTGAAACAGTGAGATGGAAACGCTGCGACCGCCTGATGCGTGCGCTGCGGCTGTCGCCGTTCCGGGCGCGGGAGGCGGAGGAGAAGCTGGCGGCAGCAGGGGCGAGCAATGGCTGTCTCCCCGTGGACGGCCGCGTCGTCGCCGCCAACGAGAAGGTTCGCCGTCGCCGCCGGGTGGTTGTTGGTGTTGCTGACGCGAGATGTGGCCTCCATGGAACAGCCGCAGCCAGCCGCCGTCGCGGCGCCGCTCTCCTCCTCTCCCGCCTCACCCGGTGACCTCCTTTCCAGCCGCCGGCCGGCTTGCCCAGAGAAGAGGAGAGTGAGAGAGAGAGAGAGAGAGGAGGAATGAGATAGATGATGTGGCATCCTGACTCGTGGGTGCCACGTCGGTCCACACTGACTCAGCCGCCACGTAAGACAAAACCAGGGTTAAAACCACCGAAGGATCTATTGTGACCGGTTTTGATTAATTAAGGGACGACCGAAATCTGGTTTTGCGGTTGGAGGATGATTTTGTAACTCGATGACAAGTTGAGGGACCTTCGGTGTACTTTTCCCCTCTTAAAACATGCGTGATTTTTTAACGGAATAAGTTCATCTGAGGTTCCTTAACTTGTCAACGAATCTGATTTTCGTCCCTCAACCGAAAAACCAGACATAACGGGTCCCTCAACTATCAAAACAGGTACAGATAAGGTCCCTTGGCGGTATTGAGGGTGGTTTTGGCGGACGTGGCGCCTACGTGGCTAATTTGACTCGGTCTTTATCTGATATAGGCACTGATGTGGCGCTTACGTGGCAATTTAATCCAGAAAAAATAATAAAACCCATGAGACCCACGTGTCAGTTCCACACACAAAATAATAAAAAAGTGGGCCCACCTGTCATTCTCATCCCTCTTCTTCCTCCTCTCTCTCCCCATCTCCCTTAGGGTGTGTTTGAGGGGAAGGGGATTGAGGAGATTGAGAAGATACGCAAAACGAGGTGAGCCATTAGCTCATGATTAATTAAGTATTAACTATTTTAAATTTCAAAAATGGATTAATATGGTTTTTTAAAGCAACTTTCCTATAGAAATTTTTTGCAAAAAACGCACCGTTTAGTAGTTTGAAAAGCGTGCGCGCGGAAAACGAGACTCAATCTCCCCAAACACCCTGGAACGAACGGTGCCTTAATCTCTCTCTCGGATTGGGATCCTCTCTCCAGGCGCAACGGAGAGGCAGTGGCGCATGGCGGCCGGCGGGAGAGGAGGGAGCGGCGCGACAGCGGAGGCACGGCCCGGCGGCTGTGGGCGGAAGAGGAAGGGGCGGCGGAGCTTCTTTTCTCCCTCTCGGTCTCTCCCCTCTCCACGCCATAGATCTCTCCCTCTCCCACTTACCCGCAGCCATGGCGGAGGACGCCCCCAGAGCCGCCGCCGCCGCCGAGGGAAGCCAGCATGCGTCGGCCGCGGAGGGAGGCTCCGCCGTCGGCCCGCCGCTCCCGCGGCACCAGTCGCCAAGGCCGCGGAGGTGCTGCTCCCGTCGCTCAGCATCTGGCCGCTGTCGCAGCGCACGCCAGCGAGGAGCAGACATTGATTTGATTCCAAGATTATTTTTTTTTAGCAAGGGTCAAGAACCCCATTTCTTAATTAACCCTTTCTTTTACTAAAAATGATCGTACCAGTACAGGTTCAGCCAAAGCGGCAAGCAATTTGATTCCAAGATAGTATCAGCTTAGCTAGCAGTGGCTAGCTAGCCATGAGTAATAGTGGCAAGGAGCAGCGGCGGATGGACCGGTTCATCGTGATCCCCTTCTCCACCTGCCGCAATGGATCCAGCGTGGACGTCGTCGATGGCGGCGGCAAGAGCGGCAAGAAGCCCCAAGGTTCGTTGTTTGGAGTCTTGGATGCTTATTCTTCACTTCTGCTCTATCTTGTCGATTGTTTTTTGCGGGGTGATTTAGGAGTTTGGTATTAGTGATGTTGTGTACGTGTCTAGGCGGCGGCGGCGAGGGTGGCGGCGCGGCGGACCACCACCGCCAGCACGTGGCGCACATCGGCTGGGACGGCAGCACAAACACCACCACCAGCCTCCGCTCATGGAACCGCGCCGCGCCGCCGTCCTCCTCCTCCTCCACCACCACCGCGTCCACCTCGTCAGCCTTGGCGGCGCCGGTGACATCAATAAGGAGTCGGCGCCGGCGGGGCCTCGGTTGTGCAGCTCATGTCCTACCGTCTGCCGCAGCCAGGGCCAACTCCCACCGCCCCTTCCTCTTCCGCCCACAGCTGCCGGAGCCGTGCCTCCACCGCCGCGCCGCTCCCTTCTCTCCCGCCGGCCGCCGTGCGCCGCTGCCTCTCCGTCGCACCTGGAGAGAGGATAGGGGAGAGAGACGAAGAGAGGGAGATGGAGGGAGAGGAGGAAGAAGAAGAGGGGTGAGAATGACATGTGGGGCGCACATGGGCCCCACCATTTTTTATTAATTTATGTGTGAAACTGACATGTGGGTCCCACGGGTTTTATTATTTTTTCGGGTCGAATTGCTACGTAAGCGCCACGTCAGATGAAGACCGAGTCAAATTAGCCACATAGGCACCACGTCATCCAAAACTGGCCTCAAAACCGCCGAGGGACCTCATCTGCACCGGTTTTGATACTTGAGGGACTCGTTGTGTCTGGTTTTTCGGTTGAGAGAGAAAAATCGGATTCGTTGACAAGTTAAGGGACCTTAGATGAACTTATTCCTTTTTTAACCATCAAAATGGGGCCAAACTGTGGTTGGTTCATGGGCCTCACGCCGGCTTCAAATTGGGCCACAGCTTCGTCTCGCGTCAAAGTACCTTGGAATAAGTTCACTTAAGGTCCCTTAACTTGTCAACGAATCTGATTTCCATCCTTCAACCAGAAAACTAGATACAACGGGTCCCTCAACTATCAAAACCAAAGCGGGTCCCTCAGTGGTTTTGGTTTATGTGGCGTCTACGTAGCAGGTTTGACTAGCTCTCCGTCCCACGTGGCATTGACATGGCAATTATATCTTGGAAAATAATAAAACCGTGGGCCCACTTGTCAGCTACACAAAATATCATTTAAAAATAGCAGGGCCCACGTGGGCCCACATGTCAGCTACACAAAAAAATACTGGTGGGGCCCACGTGGGCCCTACAAGTCATTCCCTGCCCTCTCGGCTCTCCCTCTTCTTCCTCTCTGCTCTCCCTCGTCCTCGCAGCGGAGCAACGGCGGCAGCGGGCAGAGCAGAGGCACAAGCGGAGCGGCGACGACCTCGCCAAGGACGCCACGCGTACCTCCGACGCGAGAGGAGCGGTGACGCATGCCGGCCGGCGGGAGGGAGGGAGAGGAGCGGCAGGGGGGAGCTGCACGCAGCTGCCGGCGGGAGAGCATCGGCGGCGCACACCGGCCGACGGGTGGGAGGGAGATTAGCGGCTGCGCGCGCAGCGCTGCCGGAGAGGGCGTCCGACGGGAGCGCTGCGAGGGAGGAGGCAATGCGCGCCGGCCGACGAGAGGGAGGGACAGGAGCAACGGTGCGAGGGGGTCGGCAGCCGGCGAGTGGGCAGAAGAGGAGCGGCAGCCCCCCGGCCTCTCTGCCCTTGTCGGCATTCCCCTCACAGCGAGCGGCGGCCGTCGACCGTCTCCGCCCCCCTCGTCGGCTGTCGGCTTTTTCCCTCTCCGTGCGCGCTTGCCGGCCGCCGAGGAAGGATGGCCGGGAGGGAGAGAGAGAGAAGGAGACGCGGTCCGGCGGTCCATCGTCTCCCGTCGTCCATGGCATGGATAGAGGAGGGTGGGACCCACTAACATGTAGATCGTACTATTTTTCCTTTTGTCTTACTGACATGTGGGCCTCGCAGTTTTTGTTTTTATTTTTTTATATATTTTGCTTCCGTTGCCACATCATCTACACCAAGGACGAAGGCAGAGTTAAACTAGCCATGTATGTGTTACATCAGCCAAAACCATCATCAAAACCGCTAAAGGACCCGTTGTATCTGGTTTTTCGGTTGAAGGACGAACATCAAATACATTCACAAGTTAAGGGACCTTAAGTGAACTTATTTCAAGTACCTTCCACAGTCAGTCTCAAGTCTGCGTTGGTAGAAGGGCGCGTTGAAACGGAAAGATCTCTCAAAATCTCTGGATTTAACAGAGCGCTGCCTGGGAAAACGCAAGCACGATTCGCGAAACACTCTCGAGAGCGGTACAACGGTTCGCGTTCACCCAAGCCGTGCAGACATCTGTATATAACGCTCCCTTTGCTCAGGCTCGTTCGCCTCCGCTAGCTTGCCTGGGATCCGCATCAATGGCGCCCTCCTCAAACCTCACCCAGGCCGCGCGCGCCGTCCACAAGTTCAACGTCAATGGCTACTCGGCCACGAAAGCCATGGCCAAACACGAGCATGTCTCTTCCAAGCGTCTCACCGTGGCCGGGTATGCGTGGGAGATCCACTACACCCCAGGCCACGATGCGCACTGGCACTACTGGGTCGCCTTCAAGCTCGTCTTCCTCGGCATCGGCGAGCAGGCGCAGCGCGCCGGCGGCGACGACGACGACAACGACGCTGGCGCCATCAAGGCGTAGCTCAGCTGCTGCCTGGTGCACCCGTCGACCACGCGCTCCCATGCTTCCGAGGAGAAGAGCGACAGTCGCACGCGTTCGGGTCCGCGAACGAGAGCTCGCCGTGGGTTCTGCTCGTGAAGCGGAGGGAGCTGGAGGCGTCGGGTTTCATCACCGGCGACTCCTTCGCCGTGCGCTGCACCATCACGGTGCTCAGCAAGAACACCATCAACTCGGCCGAGCCGTCCCCCGACCTTCACCTGCAGCTCGGTGAGCTGCTGCGGAGCGGGAGATTCGCCGACGTCGAGTTCATCGTTTCCGGCGTGTCCATCGCGGCGCACAGGTGCGTGCTCGCCGCGAGGTCGCCGTCCCTCGCCGCCGCCGTCCTGAAAGGTGGCACGAGGAAGAAGGATGGGTCGGTGCGCGTTGAGGTCAAGGACGACATGAGAGCCGGCGTCTTCAGGGCGCTGCTCCATTTCATCTACACCGACACGTTGATGGAGCTCGACTGGAGAGAGGATGGTTCTGATCCCCTGCTGCCGAGGACGATGGTGATGAGCTTGAATGAAGCCGCGGGTCGGTATGGGCTGGAGAGGCTCAAGCAGATTTGCGAGAATATGCTTGGATTTGACGATGCTTGTAGTGCAGATTGTGCTGTCATGTAACGCATGCTCTGCATGCTGCCAACCGTTGAGAACTCTTTTCTTATCGTTGTTTGCTACTTCGTCACGAGTCACGACGAGCAACGAACCTTAGATCTGTGACTCGCGAGTTGTGAACTTGTGATGGGTGTGCTAATGCAGTGCACAATCTGTGCTTTTATTTACATCCGACATGTACTCGTGTATGGAGTACTGGATTTGAGATAATGAAAATGGATTACATCTCCAGCTTCTATCATAAGACACACAGTCATAAGTTTAATAATAAAAAAGGGTAAAGATAAAATTAAAATTAAAATGAGAAATAAGGCGATGAGACAAATCTCCAACTTCTCTTTATTATGGACTAGCGTTAAACCACATAATGTTCTTTAGCTAGCAATTCTAATGGAACTACGCCACCTATAGTGGAATAAGAGACTATTGGCTACCGATTTCAAAAGTGTAGCACTGTCGACGGGTGATACCCGTAGACCGGATATAGAGGGTATTGGGGTACGCTGGTACAAAGATCTACGTAGTACGACATCGAGCAATCAAAAGACAAGAATTATACTGGTTTAGGCCCCTTGACAGGTAATAGCCCTAATCCAGTTGATGTGGGATTATATGGTGGAAAACACAGGTTACAAAGGAAAAGATGAAACTTGTCAGATCCGGCGAGATTGTAGTCGAGTTGATTCGACTAGCTCTCGGCGACTTGGCTCCTCGCAGGCTCCGGCTTCTTAGACTGTGTGGATTCTGAGATTCGATGATCTATGCCCTTCTCGGGGGGTCCCTTTTATATGACAGGTCTGGTACTCTCCGAGTAGGACTCGAAGATACCAGACCTAGCACGATACGTAGGTAACCCAGTTCTTGTCCGAGAAGGACTTTTTCCCGTCTATTGATTTCGTGAAAGGTTTCCTTAGATCATAAAGGAAATATCCGCGTGCGCGTGGGTATGCCATGTCGATACGTATCGTATATCGAAGGGTAGGGGGTATGCCTGACCCGTAACCCTGACAGTAGCCTCCGACTTTTGCTCAAAAACGAACTCATGCGACCATTCGCGACTTCGGGCGTCTAGAACGTTATCATTCCGGGTGCGAGAATCGCGGAGTTGATGTGTAGTCGAGCATCCCGTTTGAAGCCCAACAGTCACGAGTGAATTTTGAACTGAAGTCCAAAAACTGCCGCGCGTAATAGACTTAGAAATTTCCAGCGGGGATTTCTCTCAGTTCCTTGGAATTCGCACCGTTGGGGGTGCGCTTATTTAAAGGGATTTTGGGTGCACGTTTTGAAGTCCGCCAACTCCGTCAAACACACCACCTGTTAGCACTCCTCACCTTCTCCGCTGCCGTAAAGAACCCTAGCTTCGCCAGCTCTAGGTCCATCTCCGGCGATCTTTCAGCAGCGATGAATCTCGGCAAGTCGGCTTCCACCAGCGCGACCCTAAAGAAGCTCCAGGAGGACGGCGCCCTTCCTGGCCGTGAAAAGGCGGAGAGGAAAGCAGGAGGTACTAATCCTCAGCCCATCTTAGGTCGCATGGTTGCGATCGAAGATTATGTTGTTGTTAACGACCAAATTTGGTAAATTCTATCACTATTGGCATCGGAGATGAAGATCAGATCGAAGTGGAATCCAAGATGAAGATCGTTGCGGAGACAGAGTAAAAATTGGCTGCAGTCTAAATCAGCTAAGGTCAGGATCGGCAGAGTTCGAGTTGGACGGGGCTAGCCGATACAGCTGATTCCGATAATATGACCCGGTGAACGTCATCGGGTTTAAGTTGATGTGCTTCAAGGTGATTGCCATGCATGGATAGAGTCCTGGGAAGGCAATTGTATCTATTAATTAGGATATTCTATGTAATTTCCTTAGAGATATGTTTGGGCAAAAAGTCTGCCGTAAAGACTTATGGTATCTTAGAGTTTGCTAGAGATAATAGTCGTGTCCGTTATGGACGTATCTTGTAATTCTCGTGTATAAATAGACCCGAGCCCTATATAAAAAAGAGATAACACATCCAATACAATCTCGGCGCATCGCCACCCTTTTTTGCTTTACTTTTATTTCGACGAGTTCGTGCTCTCGGGTTGAGCTACATCGGTTTCGATCTTCAACAAAGAGGTAAAACTTGTCATGACGACTTATGTTCTCAGGATTAGTGCTTCCATCTTTATGACACTCTAATCTTGTCTATATAATTCGTCGAGTTATCATATATCTCATATAGTCTTCGATAATATCTTTATCTAACCTATAATCGGCTAACATCTGCTAATGGAAGGCAGCCGATTAGGTTATACAATGACGTTAACTTAGATTATGTGATATATCTACCACTCTATAAAACTTCCAGCGGCTTGATTATCTAGATATTGTTCTTCTTTTCATACTTAATGCTGCATCAGTTGAGTTTGATCTATTAAGTCGTGCTTAGAATTGCAATCTCTAGCCTGCTTTCTGGTTGCCAATTAGGGTAATATCGGAGTTTCAGCCGATCTTATCTGATTTAACTAATTTTATTTTATATGCTTGATTGATACGTTAAATCTGCCCTTTATGTTAAGATTTTATTGCATCTAAGTATATTAAGCTTATGTTTGGTATATTCTACTTGCTTTAATATCTTAGTATAGAGTGGTATCGGAGTATTAGCCGATACATGCTAGATTTACCTGATCAGCTATGTTATGAATGTATATAATCCTACTATTAATATATATTTCAATCTAAGTGATTTATACTGTCTCGGCAAGGCGACCGATCTATCCCAATCACTTGATTTAAGTATATACTGATATAAGGATTATATATCATTAATGTCTACAGTTGATCGAGTAGATTTAGTTCTGAATTGCTTATTGATATTTGCCGATCGATGTACGCATGACATCGGCTTGAAATAAATGATATGTCATCAGCACCTAGCCGATCGGCTATCATTTATAGGATTAATTGCGGTTTCTTTGTTCTATCTCTTGTTGATTGCAGGATCAAATCAACTGGCACACTCATACATCCGAAGGCGAGCTTTGGACCTGCACTGGAGTTAAGCAGATCTCCCAGGCCTCGTGTTTTATATCAACAGTTGTCTGCAGGTTTCTCCCTCCACCCTCCGAATTCCTTCTGCTGGTTTTGAATTTCTATGGGCTTTCTCTTCTGCATTTGAACCCCAATTCCATTGCTTTCCTTAGCGTCTTTGTGCATCTTTGCGAGGCCTACATTGGGGTAGAGCCCTTTCTTGATCTGTTCCGCTTTTACTACGAGTTGCGCTGGATGGAATCCAATAGGGTATCCGGTTGCGTCGGGTTCCGACTTCGTGATGGCATGAAGTCGCATTATGTCCCCTTCCAATGTCCCTCTTCTCGCAACAAATGGCGGAACAGGTGGTTTTACCTTGAAATCAAGGATTCAAATCCGGTCCTCGTTGTTCCCGAGGAACAACCGGACAAGATTCCGGTCTGGACCGCCAAACCCTCCTTGACCCCCTCTCTCCAACCGTTTATCGACATCATCGATGATCTCCGAGAACAGGGCTTATTGGGATATGAAGTCGTTGCAGACTTCATCGGTAGGCGAATCCAGCCGCTCCAGGCTCGGGCCCATCCGGCTTATGACTATTCCGGGCCAGACGACGCGACCTGGGTTTCTCCTCGGGGTATCTTTCTCGCATTCATTTAGACATGCTTGTACTCGCGTTACTCTTCAACTTATCAAAAATTGATTCCTTTTTGACAGGTCTGAGCAGCGAAGCCGTGGAGCAGTGTGTTGGTCAGGTGATGATCAGCGGCCCGACCACGGCGAGCGACATCCCCGCACCCCTTTGTGAAAAGGGTGCGACGGAGCGCGACGAAGCAATCAATGTGAGTTCATTCGATAGCGTCCCGCCTTCTCTGCTCGAAATCAGCTTATGATATGATTTAGCGTAGGCCCTTCCTTTGACTGATGTCGTCGGACCGCTCGCGGATCATCAGGTGGCGGCATCTCTGAAGGAGAAGGTCGTCAAGGAGGCGTCTGACGCTGCTACCACCAGTGATGGCAAAGCTCCGACCAAGGCGAGGAAATTCTCGTATGTGCTCGGACATCGCCGCAAGGCAGCGACTCCCTCGGTAATTTCACCTCGTCGCTATGTTGTGTAGCAAGGAAGGTTTATTCTCACTCCACATTGGTTGTCTTGCAGGCTTCCGACGCGTCTCCTCCACCTCCGCGACGTTAGCGCATTGTGACGATCGGCGAGAAGTTAGTAAACAGACTTTTGGATTCTCGTGTCTTCTATTCAAATGGAGTTTTGATTCGTGGTTATTTGTAGGGAGGCGCGGGCGAAGGCTGCGCGGGCCAAATCCAGAGGAACGTCCAGCGCATCCCCTGCCACGGTGTCGACAGATGTCGTGCCCGTGGTCGGGAGTCGGGAGGCGACGCCAAGCGGCCCTGTTAGCGATCCCGCTGAGGGTCGTAGTCTGGCAGAGGCCGTCCTCACCTAGGAAGAGCTCCAAGTCGAAATGGGGCGCCTTCTCGAAGCTGGTGCTCGCGGCACCGGCCGCGAGATCTCAGAGGCGAGGGTGGAGACGGCGGTGGCAAACGCGCGTGCCGAGCGGTTGGTGCGGGAACTGGCTGAGGCCTGTGAGGACCTCACGAAGATGAGGGAGCTGGTGGCCGGGAACGAGCGCCAACGCAAAGGGCTCGAGGACCGCATGTCGGAACTTGGAGACAATCTCTCTGAGATCCGTGGTTCGCTGCGGGTCACCTACACCGGCCTTCACCAGCTCGCCGAGGAGTGCGGCGTCAAGTCCACGATCCCGGTGAACCCCGACGAGTTCTTGTTGACTTCTTCTCTTGCGGAGCTGGCGACGGTGATAGGGGAAATCCCCTCCAAGCATTCGGCCAGGATCGCGGAGGAGACGTCCAACGGTATCTACACCGGGGCGTGTCACATCCTCGCGTGTGTAAGGTTGTCGCGCCCTGAACTCGATCTGCGTGATATCTTGGATCAGGGGGCGGCAAGCGACACGCGTAAG